AAAGAGTGAAGTGAGTTGATTAAGTAAAGAGTGAAGTGAGTTGATTAAGTAAAGAGTGAAGTGAGTTGATTAAGTAAAGAGTGAAGTGAGTTGATTAAGTAAAGAGTGAAGTGAGTTGATTAAGTAAAGAGTGAAGTGAGTTGATTAAGTAAAGAGTGAAGTGAGTTGATTAAGTAAAGAGTGAAGTGAGTTGATTAAGTAAAGAGTGAAGTGAGTTGATTAAGTAAAGAGTGAAGTGAGTTGATTAAGTAAAGAGTGAAGTGAGTTGATTAAGTAAAGAGTGAAGTGAGTTGATTAAGTAAAGAGTGAAGTGAGTTGATTAAGTAAAGAGTGAAGTGAGTTGATTAAGTAAAGAGTGAAGTGAGTTGATTAAGTAAAGAGTGAAGTGAGTTGATTAAGTAAAGAGTGATTAAGAGTGAGTTGATTAAGTAAAGAGTGAAGTGAGTTGATTAAGTAAAGAGTGAAGTGAGTTGATTAAGTAAAGAGTGAAGTGAGTTGATTAAGTAAAGAGTGAAGTGAGTTGATTAAGTAAAGAGTGAAGTGAGTTGATTAAGTAAAGAGTGAAGTGAGTTGATTAAGTAAAGAGTGAAGTGAGTTGATTAAGTAAAGAGTGAAGTGAGTTGATTAAGTAAAGAGTGAAGTGAGTTGATTAAGTAAAGAGTGAAGTGAGTTGATTAAGTAAAGAGTGAAGTGAGTTGATTAAGTAAAGAGTGAAGTGAGTTGATTAAGTAAAGAGTGAAGTGAGTTGATTAAGTAAAGAGTGAAGTGAGTTGATTAAGTAAAGAGTGAAGTGAGTTGATTAAGTAAAGAGTGAAGTGAGTTGATTAAGTAAAGAGTGAAGTGAGTTGATTAAGTAAAGAGTGAAGTGAGTTGATTAAGTAAAGAGTGAAGTGAGTTGATTAAGTAAAGAGTGAAGTGAGTTGATTAAGTAAAGAGTGAAGTGAGTTGATTAAGTAAAGAGTGAAGTGAGTTGATTAAGTAAAGAGTGAAGTGAGTTGATTAAGTAAAGAGTGAAGTGAGTTGATTAAGTAAAGAGTGAAGTGAGTTGATTAAGTAAAGAGTGAAGTGAGTTGATTAAGTAAAGAGTGAAGTGAGTTGATTAAGTAAAGAGTGAAGTGAGTTGATTAAGTAAAGAGTGAAGTGAGTTGATTAAGTAAAGAGTGAAGTGAGTTGATTAAGTAAAGAGTGAAGTGAGTTGATTAAGTAAAGAGTGAAGTGAGTTGATTAAGTAAAGAGTGAAGTGAGTTGATTAAGTAAAGAGTGAAGTGAGTTGATTAAGTAAAGAGTGAAGTGAGTTGATTAAGTAAAGAGTGAAGTGAGTTGATTAAGTAAAGAGTGAAGTGAGTTGATTAAGTAAAGAGTGAAGTGAGTTGATTAAGTAAAGAGTGAAGTGAGTTGATTAAGTAAAGAGTGAAGTGAGTTGATTAAGTAAAGAGTGAAGTGAGTTGATTAAGTAAAGAGTGAAGTGAGTTGATTAAGTAAAGAGTGAAGTGAGTTGATTAAGTAAAGAGTGAAGTGAGTTGATTAAGTAAAGAGTGAAGTGAGTTGATTAAGTAAAGAGTGAAGTGAGTTGATTAAGTAAAGAGTGAAGTGAGTTGATTAAGTAAAGAGTGAAGTGAGTTGATTAAGTAAAGAGTGAAGTGAGTTGATTAAGTAAAGAGTGAAGTGAGTTGATTAAGTAAAGAGTGAAGTGAGTTGATTAAGTAAAGAGTGAAGTGAGTTGATTAAGTAAAGAGTGAAGTGAGTTGATTAAGTAAAGAGTGAAGTGAGTTGATTAAGTAAAGAGTGAAGTGAGTTGATTAAGTAAAGAGTGAAGTGAGTTGATTAAGTAAAGAGTGAAGTGAGTTGATTAAGTAAAGAGTGAAGTGAGTTGATTAAGTAAAGAGTGAAGTGAGTTGATTAAGTAAAGAGTGAAGTGAGTTGATTAAGTAAAGAGTGAAGTGAGTTGATTAAGTAAAGAGTGAAGTGAGTTGATTAAGTAAAGAGTGAAGTGAGTTGATTAAGTAAAGAGTGAAGTGAGTTGATTAAGTAAAGAGTGAAGTGAGTTGATTAAGTAAAGAGTGAAGTGAGTTGATTAAGTAAAGAGTGAAGTGAGTTGATTAAGTAAAGAGTGAAGTGAGTTGATTAAGTAAAGAGTGAAGTGAGTTGATTAAGTAAAGAGTGAAGTGAGTTGATTAAGTAAAGAGTGAAGTGAGTTGAAGAGTGAAGTGAGTTAAAGAGTGAAGTGAGTTAAAGAGTGAAGTGAGTTAAACAGTGAAGTGAGTTAAAGAGTGAAGTGGGGTTACGTAATGTGGTCTGAGCCTTATCTAGCATTACAATACAGCCTCATTTAACACAAGTTTTTTCATTTTTTATCTGCAACAATTTTCGCATGATATATAGATACCTGGTAATTGGCGCGGTCATATTCATTTGGGGGTTGAGATTCTCCTAAAGGGACAATGTTCAACTGGTCCAATTTGGACGCTTACCAGAGAAGAAATATTATTGTATTGAGTCCTAAGATAGCGACAGTCGCAGGGCAGGGAGAATAAGTACACCAGTGTTCTATTGTTTGATACGTCGGATTACGAATAAGACGTGATGATCGTGATTGAACATTTCTGAGGAATGAAGATGATGATGGAAGTGATGGGAGGCCTTGTTTATGTTTGAGTCGATCAAAGGCTCGTTTTTGACGACGTAAAAAAGATTCAAAGTCCTTTTGAAGCTTTACTGGGTTGAATTTTTGCACGAAGAGTTGTCGATTATTCAACTTGCTTTGTTCAATCTCATGGGAGATCTCCCGCCATTTTATATTCTGCTCTTCTCTGGAGTTCTCGATAGTTTTTCGACCAATTTGTTTTCATGAGAGATGCTTATCCCCAAAACAGGAAAAATCGAACTTGATGATAAATATAAAGGCCCAATCCTAATCTTTTCTTTTTCCCTTCTGTTTACATTTTTCCTAGTGGAAGCACATTATATTTTATCATCAATAGTTCGCTCACTAGATGCGCAGCTTTCGTTGATTCAAGCTGATCCAGCAAATGACTCCACAGTGACGTGTTTGGAACTTCCTCTATTAAAATTTGAAAGTATTTGCAATATTAGCCTCATAATACTGCAACATGCACCCCACTTACTCGCGCCTTTACCGAACATAAATTGGGACTCCTCTAGTTTCGTCTTGACGAGATGAATTTTTTCATCTAACAATTTCAGCTTTTCCCTCTCTGCACACGCTCACATCACACCAAATTGAGAGTTGTTCATTACCTGTGAAATGTCTGTACGTCACATGCGCTCGTTTGCCTATCAGTCAATTCATATGTACGACGAGCTTCTTTTCTCGCGCTTGTCCCACTAGGATCGTCATCTTCGGGAAGATACTTGAAGGATTCTTCCAGTATTTTTTCTATACACATCGGACGATCTTCTCTCAATAAGTGGTTCAACAAGATCCTCAGCACTTGCCAATCCTACGATCCAACAAATCCTCAAGACTCTCTTCAAGACTCTTCCACAAAACTCACCGAGCTGTTTCAACAATTTAGGAACAGAAACATTTCTATCGAAAATATTTTCGTTTTCCTCAATTTTCTGCACCATGTTCGTCGGCGTTATGAAGTTACTTTGGTTCTACAAGAAACCGCTTTTTCAATGAAGCAATGCACATCATTGATACCTCAACGTATTTCCAAAACCTCAAACGTCCAGATACGCGTCTTGCATGCTTCACGATGCTAATCGATTCGCTGAGTTTCTGTCTCAATTTCCTTTGATCTTGCAGAAGCTAAAACAGAAGCAAAGTGTAAGAAACAAATTTGGACTTTAGTACGAGCTTCAGAGCTTTTTGATCTCACTCACTCACCGCGCGTCGCCTTCGATCTTCATAAAGAACAATCTGACGTCTCATCTCAGCCCGTCGCTTAGCTGGAAAACAAGAACTCATTCTTCTCAAACAATTGATACTCATCCATTTTCATGTGTCTGTCGTACCTTGATACAAATGTTGCATGTGTTCAATTTGTTTCAGTCGTTCTTCATTCGTTACGAGTGCCAGCTTTTGTAAATTATTGCGCGCGATAAATTCTCCTCACTTCCATCATCTGATTTTCGTAAAATGAATCCAAGTCCCAATCCAAGTCCCAAATTCTTCACTCTCCTTACTTGTTGCTCCCATACGTGTCGTTCCGCGTCGTAGGGAGTTCCGTTGGGCAAAAGCTTTGCATAAACTTGTTGTTTGCTGACAACAAGATGAAACCATAATTGTCAATATCTTGAAATCAAGACGTGCAGAAAACATTTAGACAACCGTGTTTTGGTTGACTAACAACCAAACTGTTTGAACTCACATTGCATTTTCCCCAAGAAGAAACTGCAATCTTCTGTCCAAAGCTTCTGGACAAACTTTTGGAACGGATTGGATTGGACGGAGATACACGACCTCCGCCTAGCTGACACACGTGAACCAGTAACTCTCTCATGGAGATCGATTCATTTACCGGCTTTGCTTGCGGAATCTTACGGGCAGGAGGAATGATTGAAAATACTCGTGATTTTTCGCGCAATCTGTTCAAACAACAATAACTCCAAGGGCTCATGGAACTCACCTAACAAATCGCTTGATTGGGTTCTCAAAGGGTCCATTGTCTCTGAACAATCTCGTGCGCCAGATGCTCCTTTGATTGCGAGCTGAGACAACGTTACAACACGGTCTAGGCTTGAGCCACGCTTACTTGGTGGACGACAAAACCTCATTGCTTTCGCCAAACGATTGCGAATCATCCCAGGAATGGGATTCAGATATGGATTGAGGAGATGGCTTGAATTCATCTTGTTCCGATTCAGGGGCTTCCTTTTCTTCGTCACGAATGAGGGGCTCCCCTCTTTTGTGCTGCACCACTCAGGTTCAAATCCCCAACATACAGAATGGAAATAATTTGAGTTTGAGGTTTGAACACGAAAAAGCGAATAGAGGGAAGGAAGCGGACAAAATATTTGGGACTTTCCACTCCCTACTTTTTGACAATTTGTACGACATCTTCGTCACAGAGTTCGTGCTCTTTTCCAACTTTTTGCGGCACGTGTTTCACAGAATGGCCCCAAACTAATGCATATTTGAAATCAGACAAGAGTTGTTTATGAATTCTTAAACAGAAATCCTCCACCATGAGCCTGTCTTTCCTCAAAATCACCGGCGCATTGTAGTCAGGAATTTGTCCCTGAAAAGAAATAAACGGGAATGGAGCAAAAGAATGAACCAATACAACGAGAACTGGAGACAAAACGGATAGAAGCAATTGCAATCAGGGAAATGGGCTTCCATGCAATCGCATCAATGCAATGCTTACTCTTGGTTTTGTGTAGATTCTTGCTAGATTGAGATACTCCCAAATTTTCTCTATTAATCCATCCAAGTTCCATTCATGGTGTGCCGATATCGGAACATAATGAGGGACCTTAGAAAGAATGTCCAATTCTGCAAACGATCAATGTCTAATGATCAAAATAAATTCGTACCTTCGATTGTTATCTGATCGATTTTGTTCATCACGTAAAGGACCTGGGACATAAATTCGATTTCCTTCAATGACATCAATTATATCATCAGCAGTTGCATCACAACGAATTGAAAATGTTGCATTTGGAATTCTATATTCATGACAGATTGATTTGATCGTCTCTTCATCAATTCGTTTCAATGGAGTTGTATTGGTTATCGAAATTCCTCCTTTTTCCCTTTTTTTGAAAATTATATTTGGGGGTGATTTATTCAATCTGCAAGAAAATTATTAAACGTGTTTGGACGTCAACAAAGCATCAAAGTTGAAGAGTGCAACCCATTCTTCATGAATTCACACTTCAGATATTAACATTTTACAAACCATTAACGAAACCAGCCTCTGCACTCTAGAAGTTTTATGGCTGATCGCAACTAACTTTACTATTTTTCTGGACGCACCTAATTCCAAAGCCTTCAAGCTCTTTTTCAATAATTCGTTTATGAGTGAGTGGCTTCATACAATCCAAGACAATCAGAATCAAACCACAAGTTCGAGCAACTGCTATAACTTGTTTACCGCGACCTTTTCCATCTTTAGCACCTTCAATAATTCCAGGAAGATCTAACAATTGAATTTTAGCTCCCTGCCAGAAGAATACATAAAAAAAATGATTGATTCACACTCAATACCTTGTAGCGAAAAACCCCTGGAACGCACGTCAATGTTGTAAACTCGTATGCAGCAACTTCTGAGAATGTTCCAGTTAACTTTGTTAACAAAGTTGATTTTCCCACAGACGGGAAACCGATCAGACCAACTCTGGCATCTCCTGTCTTGCTGACATCAAATCCATCTCCCGGTCCTCCGCCGCCGCCTTTTGATCCGCCATCGATCTGAAGAAGAGGCACTATTAACAATTCTTTGATCATTTTCGCACCAGTTGCGCTTTCAATTTTGCTAATTTTGCTTTGAGCAATCCTAAATGGAAATTAGTCGCTTTGTTTTTCTGAGTTCGAGCCATTTCCTGCTCGATCTCAGCGATTTTTCTGAAGGACGCTCATCGTTGCAACCAAACTCTCCCCCAATAAGATTCAGGTTCCAAGGCAATGCCAGCTGTGCGCCTACTTCTTTTGGGATATGGGCTGTAGTACAGCACAAGACAAGTGAATCTTTGCCGCTGAGTTTGATTCCGCTTAGGATGATAAAGTGATGACGACAACAACGTGAACGTCCGACTTTGAAGCTGCAGTAGACCGCGATAGTTTCAGTATTCCATCATCTTTTAAAAGAATCTCATTCAACATCATCAGAACCGCATTATCGATTTTCAGCTCGACACTTCTTTTCATCAGTTTCAATCCCCAAGTTTATACAAGTCTCTCTCTTCAGTCATAAAAGATGTTCGGAGGCTCTGGTGGTGGTTTGTTTGGGAGCACCCAACCAGCCCAGCAATCCACAGGCCTCTTTGGCGCTGCAGCCCCATCCACTGGTTTGTTTGGCTCCTCGACTGGTGAGTCACTAACTGGCTCGTTCTATAATTTTCTTATATTCTTCTTTTGTAGGAGGAAGCAATCTCTTTGGTTCATCTACAGCGGGAGGAGGAGGTCTCTTTGGTAGCACGACGCAAAACAGGCCTACTGGCGGTGGGCTGTTTGGCACCACGCAACCCGCACAACAACAACAACAACAGGCCGGAGGGTTGTTCGGATCATCTCAGCCATCAACTGGTTTGTTTGGGAGCTCAACGATGAGCACCGGAGGAGGAGGGGGACTTTTTGGGGCAACGACAGCACAACAACCTCAGCAACAGACTGGCGGTCTCTTCGGTAGTACCACACAACCTTCGACTGGTTTGTTTGGAAGTCCTCAACCAGCAGGAGGATTGTTTGGAAGTGAGAGCAACCTTGGATTCACCCCTTAACGTCGCTTCTTTTCAGGTTCCACCACCCCAACGACATTTGGCACCACAGCAGTGTCCCAAGGAACTGGGACACGCGATCTTAAGTATAGAGATGATTTAAATAGAGATTCGTCCGGAGGGAAAGTTCAAGCGATTTGCAATTTGCCAGAAGTGAATCAGCAAAAGGTGAGAAGTTCTGTCCTTCACTCCTGAATGTTCATCTGAATGGATTTCAGTCTCTTGAAGAGTTGCGATGGGAGGATTACCAATTAGGACTGACATCAGGAAAAACTCCAACCTCATTAGGAAGCTCTGCGGGACTGTTCGGATGTAAGAGATTTGTTAGCTACTTTGATTGCAATCTCTTAATCGCTTATAATGCTACATTTGTTTTTTGTTTCAGCGGGAACTACTGGGGGAGGAATTTTCGGAGGCGCTGCGCCACAGCCGCAACAACAAGCAGGGGGTCTCTTTGGAGGCACAACCACTGGGGGGTTGTTTTCCAGCACTCCGTCCACTGGTGGTGGTCTCTTTGGACAGAAACCTGCCACGCCTTCGACTGGTGGACTGTTTGGGTCAACAGCAGCGCCAACAACTGGCGGATTATTCGGAAGCGCGCCGCAGTCAACGGGCTTGTTCGGCAGCACAGCAACCCAGCCCGCAGCTGCAGGAGGCGGACTCTTCGGGTCGTCAGCTCCGTCAGGGGGCCTGTTCGGTTCCGTGGCGACAACGCAACCAACATCGGGTGGGTTGTTTGGATCCACTCAGACCACGGCACCAACAACTGGACTATTCGGACAGACGACAGGTACGTCAAGTTGGCCTCTCTCGGATCAGCGCTCTCTTTCAGGAGGAGGACTTTTTGGTTCCACGGCTCCGACAACAGGGGGCGGACTTTTCGGGTCGACACAACAGCAGCCACAGCAAGGTGGAGGTCTTTTTGGGACAACTACATCTCCGTCAACGGGAGGTGGACTTTTCGGCACAACACCCCAACAAGCGACAACAGGAGGACTTTTTGGTACAACGCCGTCGACAACAACAGGTACGCCGACTGACAAATTGTCGTGACTTCAAATTCATTCCTATCTCTCTGCTGCTGTCAGGAACCACAGGCGGACTTTTCGGCTCGACAACTGGCGGTGGGCTTTTCGGACAGAAGACTGAAACAACCCCCGGACTCTTCGGACAAACTGGCGGCGGACTGTTCGGAGGTGCGACCTCCACTCCCGCGGCAGCACAATCAACAGGTGGACTGTTCGGTCAAAAACCTGCCACAACGGGATTGTTTGGGACTACGACGGGAACAACTGGAACGACATCGGCCGGAACAGGATTGTTCGGACAACAACCTTCGACATCAACCACAGGAACCGGACTGTTTGGTAATTTGGGACAATCCTCTACTGGAGGCGGTTTATTTGGAAGCTTGGGACAAACCTCGACTGGAGGGGGTCTGTTTGGGAATTTGGGACAGCCGTCGACTGGAGGCGGATTGTTCGGCAGTAGCATGGGACAGTCACTCGGTGGCATTGGAACTCAACAGCCCTTATCAGCACAGACGGGACTGTCCCAACAACAACTTGTCCCGTGTGTCCCAGATCCGTATGGGATCCAACGTCTAGGCCTTATGAGCGGCATGTATGGAGCCCCTGCGATGTCCGCTTTGATGGGTGGATGGCCTGGAGGAATCCCAAATCCATTTGCCTTTCCAACACCAGGGGTGATTCTTCCCACTCAATTTCGACGATTCAAATCAGCAACATTGTCCCAAATTTGGAGGCCATTACCCGAATATACAGCAGAACATAGACGACTCCAGCTGCCATCAGCAACACCGAGGCGACAACGGACTCTTCCTCCACCCCGCAATTCCACAACATCATCTCTCAAACTGGACTATGGGTGGAATGATCGTGACCTGTCAAACATGCTCTACCCACCCAGAACCACGATGGGAACTCCACACCGACGAAGTCCTTCGGTTGGACGGTTGTCCACCGCGCGCGGGCAATGGACCCCATTCACGCAAGTCGCGTCTTCCGAAAGCGACGAGGAGGCGGACAGTCGTTACGGCGCGCCGGCGAACCGGAACCTCCGTGTTGCTGAACGGACACAACAAGCCCGGCGATTACGACAGAAGTGGAGGGAGGGCCAAGATACAACCGATAAGCCTTTGGGACATTTGCAGGAGAGTGACTCCAGAACACCCCTGAAGCATCGTCGGGCGTTTGATACTGATACTGGCGAAGATGTTCGGGGTGGACGATCAATGTCGCGCGGTTTTACGCCCAGAGAGGTTCCGTACACGCAGCGACAGCAGACAAGTAGATCAGGTCCTCTGAAAGACGATTGGACATTGAGCCTTCGCCAAACGGGAAAATTGAAGCTTGGTTTTACAAAAGATGCCCGGGACGAATCTCTTGTTCCAAAATGTACGTTGGAAGGCTACTCGACTAAACCATCCATCGAAACATTACAATCTTATAATGGGAGTCGATTGTCAACAGTAGAAGATTTTACAGTGATACGAGACGGATATGGTGAGGTCACATGGCCAGGATTAACAGATGTTCGTGGATTGAATGTTGATCTTGTTGTTAAAATTGAGGATAAGGCGATTGAAGTCTATCCATCAAATTATACAGAAATTACTGGAAATTCTGTTCCTGAGATCGGAGTTGGTTTGAACAGAACAGCGTTAGTGACGTTGCTGAACTGCAGGTATGTCCCAATGAATGAATGATTTTGCTTAGAATAGAACTCGGAGTGCGTATTTGTCCCAAATCATGAAACATTGCTTCTTTCATGTCATTCTGGTGTGTTCAACCTCCAGGCCGAAGAATCTTACTTCAACGGATGAGAATTCTGAGGAGTTTAGACAAGCTTATGAAGATCACGTTCGCAAATTGAGAAAATACACGGAGAAAATGAACGCTCATTTCGTATCACTTTCAACGAATTGGGCTTGGAAGTAAGAAAGTGTTTCCTCCTGAATTGTAACCCATTCTGAATTCCACATTGTGTGTTCTCTAATTTTTAAGTTTTCATTTTTTTAATCTGTTTTTTTATAGATTCCGCGTCGACCATTTCAGTCGGTATGGTTATCAGGAGGAAGAAGAAGACTCTAGACGCCCGATGACAGAACAGCCAGCCGTGCAGGCAAGTTCTGGATCGCGGATTCACTTCATGAATGCAACGACCAAACTCGAACCGGGAAGGGCTATGATACATGCGACAACCAAACCGGTGTCGAGTGTTCTAAGCGGGTCAAAGAATCTTTTGACATCTCGTGATCTATTTCATCAGAAGAAACGAGTTTTTCTTGGTAAGGAGGAATAAGAATGGCGCGAATAGAATCCGCTCGCTCTCTTTACCTCCCATGCATCATTGTTCGATTAGTTTTGAATTTGCATGATGTTGTGATTTGTCATTTAGTAGCGGGTGACTGATTTCATGTTTTTGTAATAACCGTCGCAAACAATATAGTGCACTTGAATTGCTCATAAAACCGTGTTTGGCGTGACTGAATAACAACTATGTGCCCACACCCTTTTCGCTTGCTCTTCAGGTAAGTCACTTCTGTTTGAATCCGTTCATCATTCTTCTGACTCGAAAATTCTACTTCTCGGACTTCTGATACAAGTTTGATCAATTCTTCTTATAGACCGCACGGGAATCCATCAAAGTCGTAATGCTGTTCCACAGCGTCAAACCACCACAGTCCAACCACAACAACCAGAATCATTCAAAGAGCAGCTTGAACTTCTCTGTCAACGTCTGGGTGTCTCTAAGTCATCTGATGGCCCGAAGACCGAGCCCGAGCTTCTAGAATTGTTGCTCGGACGATCAGATGATAGGAGTTCTTTCAAGCGACGGCCATTGCGGTCATTCAGCGCTGAGTACGCGCACATGTTTCCGTCTCGTAATGGAAGTGAAGAGTTCGGTCGTCGAATAAAATCTCGTAAAACTGGAATTCTTGAAAATCCTTCGAGCCAACCCGACGATGCAGATGTTCTACTGAAAGACTTAAGAGAGAGAAAAGAGGAAGAACGACATTTTCTGAATGAAGTGGTCACTTCAACATTTCAATGTTTAGGTTTTCGACTTAACGCAGCAACTTTACAACCTGATGAGATTGATCAGTAAGCAGAGGCATTCTATATGGAATGACTTGAACTGGGATGTCTTATGTTTGTGTACCTTCCTCAGACTCATCGCCTTACAACTCAATTTGAATGCCTCACGAATGGCACGATTACAACAGTCACCACGTAAGATACTTCTTAATCGCTCTCTACTCAATTCCATTGGACTTAAACGTGTGCTACATGAGCTTTCCAATGCATCCGTCAATCAGCGCTTCCCTTCGTATTGTAGGACTGTCAGGCTTGAAGTCCCACATTCAAACTTCGCTTGATACTTGGGCTCTCGTCGCATTCCTCTTTGGGACTGTGGGATCCTCCAAGTCGACCGAAGGAAAAGCTGATGGATTGCAGAATCGTCGAAGGTCGAGTTTAACATTCGTTCCAGAGTTGCGCGGTAGTCTTTCAATTGCTAGTGCGGTATATGCTGATGGCTTCTCTAGCTGTGACACGCCGTTCATGAAAAATAAGGCAGAATGGAAAAAACACCAAAATAAGGAAATCCGACATCAGCTATTCCCTGAAGGTGGTTTTGGTGAAAGTGATGATCTTGAGAATGGAAGGGATGAAGATTTGATGGACGCGTGTGTGGAGAGACGAGAACGTTTAGAGTTATTGAGTCAATGGATCGCTGCAGTGAATTATCGAATCGTTTCAAAGGCTCTCGAGAAAACTGATTTGGCGAATCTCACGGAACATGAACCAACCACGTTGACCGAAGACGATCAGAAACGGCTGAGGAAAGCGTTCTTATTGCTAACAGCAAACGATGTAGGTGATCTGTGATGAACGTCTCGGTGGGTGTTTCAATTATCTTCATGAATTTTACAGATTAGTGGAGCCGTTAGTGAATTGCTTGGACGTTCAATCGAATCGCCTTCACGTCCTTCCCAAAGACGAAACTTGGAGAATAGCTCATCGTTCATCAGACTTGCACTTGCATTGACATCCGGTGGTTCTGCATGCGTTCATGGAACTCCGATCAGTCGTGAAGGACATTTGCGTCAGGTAACGTCTCGTCTAGGACTGTTCCCTGTCTTACGTATAAGTATTTCAACACTGAAATGTTCCCTTTCGTTCTCAGCTGCTCGAATGGCAGAAGCGGGGGGTCTATCATCGAATCCCGTCGTCTTTGCTGCGTTTTTATCATTTGCTTGCTGGCCACATCGAGCCCTTGGTGACACGAAGTGTGCTTGATTGGAGGGGGGCTGTTGCGTTGTTGCTATGGTATCCTTCGCCGGATGCTCGTGCGTATGCTTCTGTTACAAATACAGCCGGCGGCGACGAGACGGCAACGGACATCGACTCCGGACAGACGCGTGAGAAGAAAGGGATCTCTGGACAGCAACGCCTTGCGCTTCATTACGGGTCGCGTCGAACAATTTTAGACGAAGATGATGGCGCGAATCCTTTTGACGCATCGTCGCTATTGAGCAGAAATTCAGTTGCACGGCTTCCGTCGCCAGAATCATCGTTCGCGTCTGATTCGGACGATCGTTCATCGTCGTCATCCATTCAACCCTCGACATCTTTAGAAAAGGTATTTCATGGTCGGCGTTTTCTCACCAATATCTAATCACGACAGTCAATGACACACCTATTTTTCTTACTTCCATTCCAGGCTCTCGACATCTATGCGTTTCAACTTTCGAGTGATAGTGTTTCCATGCCATCCCCAATTCCAGATTGGCGTGCTTCTCACCGCGGCCCTCTCCAATCCGGGGAAATTCCTTCGGTTCAGTACAGCATTCTAAGGTAGAATCCCTGTGTCCATCTCACTTGTCAGTGATGGTCTCCCATATATTCGGGATGTCCTTTCTGTAGACTATTCGCCAATCGACTTCCCATACAAGACTACAAATATCTCTTCGATCCATCAGCTTCATCGTCGCACGGATCAGACGCTTCCTTGAGTTGGATTCTCTTCCGCGCTCTTCGACGGACTCTTTCACTTCGAGCCGACAACTCCGACTCTCTCTTTTCTGCTCTTGACGAGATTCAGGATTTTCTTGATCGAACTTTCGCCGAGCAATTGGAGAAACTTGGTCTATGGCATCACGCGGTTCTTGTGTATCTCAGTTCCCCTTCGATTCCTGGTATGTTGACGTCAATCATGCATCTCATTCTCGGACAATTCTTAATTGTTGTCTTTCACCTGCTTCCATCAGACTGTCCGTCTCGCTGTCGTCATATTCTTTCGCTTATCGCTCGACATGTTCCAGATCCACGCCAAGCATCGTTCGATGATGTCGCTGAAGCAAGCGCCAAATTAACATTTCTCACGGAAACCCTCGGAATTCCTACGCTCTTCGTTCGTCATTCTCAAGCTCAAAAATATTCAGCAATCGGAATGTCGCGAGAGGTACGGAACACAATCAACGTAACGCTATTGGAGAGTACTGGATTTGACAAGTGTCCCATGAGTGTCCCATGAGTGTCCCATGAGTGTCCCATGAGTGCCCTTCGTCAGTGACAGCGTCGATGGTCTCGTCAATGCTTTGTTTTTCTAGGCCTGTAGTGTTTGGATTGACTGCGTGAAGATGTCCCAAGAAATTGTTATTTCTGAATCTCCGGCGTCGGATCGGGCACCCCCGTGCTTCTTCACCCACGCAACAAATCAGGGTTTCGCTTGGCTGATTGGCTCCTGCTTGATGTCGCCAACTTCGTATTTTTGTCACGCTGCTTATTCGCTTCTGAGTTCCAAAGAAATTCATAATGGCATTTTAGCGTTCTGCACCTCCGCGCTTGGAGACGCTCTGTTTCTTCGCCATGCGCTCGCACCGCCATTTCAAGCCGTCGAAGAATTTTATCCGGATCCAAGCCAGAATTCCTCATCAGATCTTCCATCCACTCAACTTTCCCTTTCGACGCAGAGGACATTCCCTACCCCGTATGTTCAAGACGCGTCCCAAGCCTCATCGAGTTGCGAGTTCGCGGAAAGCTCGTTCCTTTCCGAACTGTTTAATGACAAAATTGCGGAGCGTCGTCAAAATATCGATTGTTTGGGAAAGCGTCTTCTTCGACGGTCCGTCCATCAGATTTGTATTGAAATCATTGAACTGAGTTCATCCGTTTTAAGCACTTCTCAGTGGATGACATCACCAGCAATGTCCATTGCGATGGCTGTTGTTTGGATTCATCGAGTCATCAATCTACATGAAAAAGTTGCCCGAGAACTCGATCACTCGACGGCATCAGCAACCTTCGGAGACTCTCACGAAGATGCGGTCGATGCTGTTCCGGATTCATCTGAGAATCGGGAGGAGAACGTCCGTCAATCTAGTCAAAATACGGAGACGTTCAGATGTTCTGTCGATGAGGAGGTCCAGGAGTTGAGGTCGATCGCTGATGGGCTGTTCGTGACGATCGGGAAGCTACTCGAATCGCATCGAATCAAACAAGTCGAAAAAGAGAGAATTCAATCGTCAAACGGTTTGAGTGAAGAAAACGAAGGTGAGACAATCATGTCAACTTTACAATAATCTCATTTCTATTTGTCTTTCTTGCCAGTGACGTTGCCGATCTTCAGTGACGCACTTCAATTTCACTCTTCGCTCCCGATCGCACTTACAACGTTAACCTCAGAGACCCTTCCCACTCTGCTTGCGATTGATCAATTGATAACGGCGTGCTTACAAGGCCTCTTCGTGACGACTGGTGACTTCACGCAAACAAATGCACGAAGTTTTAGTGACCACTAGACGCAAGGCCGACGCTGGCCTCACGTCGTCTCAGTAAATTTGTTTTGCGTAACAGACTACAAATCTTTTGTAAAGTTTGTGTCAGTTTGTCTCAAATTTTAGAGTTCATAAAAAAACCGAATTGGATACAGAACAGTTTTTTTAGAAACGAGCGTGCAAAAGTTCGTAGTGAAGCGTCAGCCTAAATAGCGCGCGTTGCGGAATTCGAAGTGGCTGTGGCCTTATCTACTGACGGAATGAAATTGGCCATTTCGGCCCTAAAATGAAATAGAGAACAGCAAAAGCTGCACGGACACAACAAAAACGATAGAAAAAATAGAATCTAGACAATGAGATAAAAGACAAAAGCACACTAAAATCCGTCGAGGGATCCGAGAGACACATGCGTTTCATTGTCGGCATGTGGATGAGGGTCTTCATCACCCCATTCTTCAGTAAAGAAGTCTGTTTGTTTGGGCTGTTGAAAGTGATGTGCTGCAGCTCCTGTTGCGGCCAAGAGAGCTACACCCCCAGCTGCAGCTCCGATAGCTATGGGGATTGCGTAGCTGGTCTTCGAATCAGTTGCAGCTGTGGTAGTGCTTGTTCCTAGAGGGGTGGTGGTTGGAGTGGCTGCCGTTGCTACTGGAGCGGTTGTGCTTCTTTCTGAGGTGGTTGTTGAAGTGGTGGTGGTGGTGGTGGTTGTTGACGTGGTGGTGGTGGTTGTTGACGTGGTGGTGGTGGTTGTTGTTGACGTTGACGTGGTGGGGGTGGTTGTTGACGTGGTGGTGGTGGTGGTTGTTGTTGACGTTGACGTGGTGGGGGTGGTTGTTGTTGACGTTGACGTGGTGGGGGTGGTTGTTGACGTGGTGGTGGTGGTGGTTGTTGTTGACGTTGACGTGGTGGGGGTGGGTTGTTGTTGACGTTGACGTGGTGGGGGTGGTTGTTGTTGACGTTGACGTGGTGGGGGTGGTTGTTGCTGACGTTGACGTGGTGGGGGGTGGTTGTTGTTGACGTTGACGTGGTGGGGGTGGTTGTTGTTGACGTTGACGTGGTGGGGGGTGGTTGTTGTTGACGTTGACGTGGTGGGGGTGGTTGTGTTGTTGACGTTGGCGTGGTGGGGGGTGGTTGTTGCTGACGTTGACGTGGTGGTGGTGGTGGGTGGTTGTTGTTGACGTGGTGGGGGTGGTTGTTGTTGAAGTGGTGGTTGAAGTTGGAGTGACCGTCGTTGTGGTTGTGCTTGATTCTGAAGTGCTTGGCAGATCGGTGGTAATTGTTTCTGTTGTTGGGGTGGTGGTGCCTGCTGGAGTCGTCGTGGTTGTTTCTGGGAGGGTTGATGGGGTGAAGCGGGTGGTAGTTCCAGTGGTGGTCGTGCACTTACACACTAAAGGACACAATCCTTTGCGAGAAAGACTGCACGTTCCGGTGCAGTAGATGATCAAGGATGTCCGGGAATTGCCGTGGTATGCATCCACCATTACACGAAATACCGCAAGGATGGATGGGCGTTGACGAAACGGCAATTGCCTACAACAGCAAAAACTGTAAAAATGAGAAATTTACCGCTCATATTCCGAAAAACGATTAGAGCAGGTGAAGGGGATCTATGAAGATGAAAACAGGCTTACGTTGAAGCATGCGGTCCCTCTTAGTAAACGATCAAACATTAATCTCCAATGAATAAAGAATCTCACACGAAGATTCTAACCACCGACGAACTGCTTCTTACCAAAAAGAAATAGGCGCACAAACGCAAAGAAACAAACGAAAGTATCTCCGCTTTCATTGAGTGTGAACTACGCGTCTCGAAAATTCCAGCAAGGAATTCCATAGAACCCGAAGATTTTGATTTTTCATGGATATATTGCATTGTGATATCAAACAAATCCAAAGCGATGCCATGTTGGCTTGTCCAATCAACATAGCAGTCGTTGGCATCAGCATAGCTATTTGGCAAAAACAAGAAGACAAAAACGGGCAGAGTCGGCCCAGGTCCGTTTGATTTATGCGACAATCAAAGGTATCTTATAAGTGCAAGAATCTAGTAAGTGGCGTTTGTTTTACATTGCCCTTTTTTATCTTAGTCTACCTAATTGCGATCTCAATACTGAGCTTGCATTGTTGCTGAGAACTCTCGTTGCAGAAACTTGGAAACTGTGTGTTTTTTTTTGCCATGGCCACCAAACCCTGATGGCTTCACAAAACTCAGACAATGGAAACTACGAGAAGACCTTTGACCTCCCTGGATGACTGATTCAGCTATGAGTCGCACAAGCCTTTCGCAGCTTCCATACAGCATCGGGGCGTTCAATCGATGGATGCTTCTGGTTGACGATTGGAGAATCAATGAATTCAAATGTACTTTAGGCGTAAATTGTGATCTGAACCACGAGAGCAGTTCTGAGACTGTTGGAAATGATTCCTGCATCTGCGCATCCAACATGTTTATCTTAAAATTGCTTGAGTGTTCAACAGACTGATATTCAATGAATCCTTTATCCGTGATCAAGTACAACATGCAACACCAATGGAAACCACCATAAATCTTCACCCAAGTCTTTCTCGATTTCCCGGTTGATCATCTTCCTGGTGAACCGTTCGCATGTGGATCGGTGTCCACCAATTCACATGTCTAATCGTTAAGATCTCAATTTTTGAGACATTCACATTACGTCCCTCTGGGAACACAAGGGCCAGGACAAAGATGGAGGACATTAGAGCGTATTTAAATGCTGCCAAAAATCAGGAAATCAATTTGGAGCGACTAACCCGTTCCTTTTTCATTGTTGGCGGATTTCTATGCTGTGATGGCAAAAACACATCCTGAACTTTATCAAATCCGCCCGTCAATCTCGCTCTCATTTGAAACTCATGAGTAATGCTTGTCTTCTGAGCTCAATTGATTTCGTCAAGGCTGTTTCCTTCAGCAGATGAAGATTCTGTGAAGCTGGAGTTTGAAGCTCCTCTCGCTGTTCTCTTTCCCGGAGCGTTCGGCATTACCGCTGCTTTTGATCCAACTGGTCGCATCATACAACAACGACGTGATGAACTACATATGGGGGGCATCCATTTTCTTTCTACGTTGGCGATGCCTGGTCTCGCAGATCCGAGGAAAACGCTGAGAGAAGAATTAATTCTGATTATTTTGAAGCTTCTATGGCTCCTGGGAGTAGATTGCGAGATACTCAAAAATCAAAAAAACGTCTGGGATAGTTCTCTTCGTGTCAAAGTTGAGCCTCATGATTTCCAGATCTTGTATTGGGGCGTTCTCATTCTAATTGGCAAGGAGACAGAACATGACACCGACGCAGAAATCGCATGGGGCAACCATTCAGCAAAATATCGAGGGTCTTCTTCCAAATGGTTCCGGCAAAGTGTCCCATGATGTGCTGGCTTACGTTATCATGAAAAATAGTCTTCAATTCCGCATTTTCAAACATTAATCTGAACATCCACACGAAGTTTGGCCAATGAAGATTATGCCCAAGCGAAATAGAGCGGATCTTAACTCTTCCTGCTATTGTGACTGCAACGCGGTACATCTACTACAATCTACCTTTATATTGCGAAAAGTGGCATATTAGATATGCGAAGCCTAACAAACCATTGAGAACCCCTACGTTGGCAATAACTTCAGAAAAATTGTTAAGAAAAATCACGACATTGATGCAAGTAACAATGGGACAACTGCCAGACATCGGTATCCCCAATTACTCTTCAAGAGGCAATCCAATTCATTCGCGATAGTTTCAAAGTGTCTCGCGATTCTCCATGATGCAAACTTCTTCATACCGACGTACGCCTTCCCAACATCCGCAAATCAAAGGAAGGAGAAGTTTGTTTTTATTGATTTTGAATTTATCCGAAATGGAGGAGCAGAGATGAGAGTCTCGTTTAAACTTGAGGAAAGTTTCGCTGAGTGGCGCTGGCCGTTGCAGTCATTCCCACCATTGAAATCATGGTTTTTACACAGAACAGTCAGAAATGTCTCAATTTGGTTGTATGGTAGCGAACTTGGGAGAGCTCTTTCATTAGAGTGTCAAGCCGAGGAAACGGGGCAGCAGTTCTGTTATTTGATGACGTTTGCCAAGCGATTAGGCCAGATTGCTTAAGAGCCCAAGATATTCACGCAAGAGCAACAAGCAATACTTTCATCCTAGTTATAAATTGTTGGTTTTCTGATCGTGTTGACTTTTTTCAGCGATTTGATACGCTTTGCTTGAGACTATGTTCATTTCATTCATAACTTTGAAGAATCTTCTACTCATTCATATTCAGTGGATCATCAACCTGGTAACTCGTGAAGAACTTTAAATGCCATCTCAAAGTCATCTACGATTTTCTTCTAGACAGAACGGTTTATACGAAATCCATCTCAAAAAGAACCCCGAATAATTTGTTGCATCCAAAAACATCAAGTCCAAACATTCCCTACAATATGTGGTCATGATTTCGTCCCCAGATCTCATTGGAGAAACAAGAAGACTCTTGAGGGCAACAATTTGCATTTCTGCCAGTGACCATTGTACCTTCTTTTGCAAAACTCATCAGATGCAACTGGTTGCGCTTGTTGTGTTGAAACCACTGAGATCACAGAAATGTATAGCAAAACGTCGGAGGTGGATGGGCATCGCCAATACTCAACAACTGGTAGATTCAATAAGGATCACGCAATCTCGTTTTCAGTGTGGAATTACCTTTACCTGACACCGTGTAGTCTGTCTCGTTGCATGCAGAAGTTGCATGCAGAAGTTGCATGCGTTTAACTTCTGCACTTGAGAACATAAGGCTCTTATAACAAATGAACTTCAGAAGGAGAGACGATTCGAATGGAAGAGGAAACTCCAGAGAGAGTCGCGACAGTTTTTTCTTATCACAGCCGAGGACCATCTCCTGTTGATAATGGAATTGGAGACATAGTAGTTTATGCAAACGTCTTCGAGTGAGCGAACACGCATGACGTTGTCAATTGCAGGATGCGATATTCCATTCCTTTGTTGATATTCAACTATCAGACAAATCATCAGATTAGGGCGTAGTGTACAGAGGCACCACGTCGAAATAACTGAGAGGCAACGTGGAGGAGGGCGAGGTAAGCTGCGCTGCTATTGGGACGAGTTGAACTTCTGCATGTATTTTCCACTATTCGGTTCAAAGGACGAGGTATGTTGGTGAGAGGGCGGTAGAAAAATTAATACAGATAAGAGTGATACGAGATGATGACAAAAATAGAATATAGTGATGACAAAATTAGATTGATCATGCAACGGAGTGTAGTGATATGTGATGATGATGAGGATGGAGAGACTGAAGGATATTAGTGACGAATAGAGAATAGATTTAGTTAGATGCGAAGTCCAGTGATAGAGAACGTGCAAGATACATAGAAGGGATTTAAGGCAGTAGAGATGGGAATGAAAGATACAACGAAGAGAGATATAATGATGACAGATATAATGATGGCATAACGAATAGTAATGGAAGATAGAAGAAGTGATGACAGGAATTCAAGAAATAGTAGTAATTGAGAAAAACATCGATATCTCACACCGATCTCGATCAATAAATTAATATCCACTCATGAAGTTTGAATCTCAGGTGGACGAGGCAGAGGGTTCAGAGGGTCACTTGTGCTCAGTGAAAAACCTCCAAAAGTAAAAAGAGAAACGTGTAGGGAAGTTCTTCAGCTCGCTCTGAAAAACGAAAGACTGTGAGTTGCAAACCTCTAGCTGCTTCGAATATTCCATTGTGGCGCAGATGGTGTTACGATGACCAGCATACTCTGATTTCATTCAACAAGATAAATGTTAAAACGTCAGTTCAGCTAAAACGAACATTTTTCGATGTTCTGATAGAATGGCAAGAAAGTTTCGATATCGATTATGATGATGAAAGAAGAGTCAAAGAATCAGATCAACTTCTCAACATCATCTGGAGAGAAGCCAATAAGCTCAAGTGAGAATTTGTCTGGAGAGTTAAGAAGTCTCTTCGGTGTCAGCAATGATCAAATTGGTGCAAATTCTTACTTCCCTCAAATCGCGGAAAAATACGCCGAGCTTCCTGATCACATTTTTTCTTTAAAAGGGAAAGCTCTTCGTTTTGGATTCTCACAAGTTTCTCAATTCATTACAACAACCGATAGTAGCAGAAATTTTCCAGTTATTTGTCCTCAATGTCCAAGGTTCTGTCGGAGAATTCGCGAGTGAGTATTTCAGTCATCAAAATAACGATATTTTGTCTATTGATCAGACCAACCGCTTTCTCAGTTGATTGAAACAATTACAAGTGGAATCTCGTGTGGAAATCTCGTGTGGCACAGAAACGTTGTAAGAAGGGGATTTGGAACGTTTGAAAGATATCAACAATAGAGCTGCGTTACTATAAAAACGCCCAAGGCCAACCGGAAAAAAGAAACAAGAAGGTCAGTAAACTAAGGAGACGATGAGCCGCGGTGGTGCGGCTTCATCAGTTGTGCGTAAGATCATCTGGGGCCTTGCAGATTGTTTTCATCGATCTTGAAAAAACTGCAAGATGGAGATTTCCATATCAAGGAGGAGACATTTCTGTTGGAGATTTCTTCAGTTAGTTATGCAACTAAATCTTAAAAGGAAATATTCTTTATTTTTTAAGGAAGAGAATACGATGTGGATCTGAAGCATCCAGATTGGCCACTCGTTTGCTTAAACGCAAAAAATCGGACTTACGTTCCAATCGAGACTTGCGTTGTGAAGCTCCAGAAAGACTCAAATCAAAGACTCGATCCGAAGGCCAAAATGGCGGTTAACGATGAAATGACGATGGCATCCCGGCAACAGAAGATATCTTATCAACTATTTTGCGCGCACCGCTTATCAGGATAATGAAATTTTGAAGCATTATGGAATTTCGTGTGCGTAGGGAAATGCGAAAAATTCATGCCGTCGTTCTGCCACCTCCCGAAATGCAATATGGCGAAGCTGTCAGTTTCTCCTGTGTTGAAAATTCTCCGAAAAACCTTCCGATTGTAGCGCATTGATTTTACTCTTTATTTTGTTTGTCTCAGCAATCGGGCTGCAGTTAGTGCGGGGATTATGGCAACTGGACTCTCAACCTTTCACAGTCCCGAAAAATTTAACTGATTGGGTTGTCGCATTTATTCCGTGCAAACAAGTTCCAGATCCAAACTCTCTGCGAGAAACCTTCGAAGGTACTTGAGAATTGATTCTATTTTCTGATCTGATAGCTCGGCGTACTTTTGAACTTTTCTTAGAATTAATGAGTGCAGCTCGACGGCTTGGAATGCGTGTGGAACCCGCCCACCAGAGTTTTGCCATTTGATGACCCTCAGAGTCTTCTTCAACCCATTCGCAAAAATCTTTCTAATTGCCAGGTAATGACTTTATCATAGGTTTCAACGATCATCAATGGCTGCAGATTGTTGTCGTTGTTGTTCCCCAAAGACAG